CCGAGCCAGCTATTTTTTAATTGCAGTTGTCATTGTTGATTTTGGCTGGCCCAGGCTGTGTTTGAACCCACCAGCCTTGGTGTATGTGGCCTGTGCCCAACCAACTGAGCTAGTGGCGCTGCCCTTTTTTTTTTTTAACAAAACAAAGTCTTCACCAGAAAGTTTAATATGAAGAATGTACATAACGTAATTTTTATATCCTAATAAAAATCAGGCCTTTTGATACATAAGCATCTGATTTTCCTCCTGAACGGAGCCACTCTATATAGCCTCATTCCACGGCTTTTAACAAGATGACACTATTTCCTCATATTACCATCATTCTAATATTGCTGTTGCCCACTAGCTGTCATCTCCACCCATTCATGTATTGTAAGATTCATAATATGATTAAATCTCTACAATATTCCTTGAGCATGTCTACCATCCTTTAATTTCAACGATAACTTCCCATCCAAACTTGGGCAGGTGGCTTTAAAACCTAAAGCAAATGCTTACCATGTCATATGCAATTGTTTTAAGCATCTCACATCAATTCAGTCCTTTCAACATCCCGAGGCAGTTATTGTTATTATCCCCAAATATAGAGGTAGAAAGTGAGGTGTCAGGGGTTCAGTCACAGCCACCCACGTGGAGGACTGAACTCTAACACAGGTAGTCTGCTTGAGAGTCTGTTTTTCGTATTTTCCTTTTGATTTTGTCAAGAGCACAGAAAAGCAGTTGTTTAGATATGAATCTCAGCCCCTATACTCACATTAAGGAAGCGGCCCACATTTCCTTCTTTTGTGGCATCCAATAAAAACACATTCCCTTTATTGAACTTCCTTAGAGAATCAGATGAAGTATTTTTGGTTTCATTTGGCATCTCTTCATCACCAAAGATCTGCTGTTTTTGACATGCTGAAGATTGTTCCTCTTGGGGCTTTTGTATTTGCACTTCAAATTCCTTTTTCATATTTTTATAATCCAACATGGTTGCAAGGTTACATCTGCCCCGGGGTGGAGTTTCTTCTCTACATCTAGTTATATTTTTCACATTTGATTGAAACAGCACATTGTCTTCAGAATCTTCAACTTGGTTTGAACTTGAGTCCTCTAATAGACATTTTGGAAAATAATGTCAGAAATATACTTGGCTGAGAAATAGTGATGAAATTAACAACACTAATTAGATATCAGTTGCTTTATCATTAATCCACACAATGTGTTAAGTAGGTAGTATTACTTTCATTTTACAGATGAAAACTCTGAGTCTCTGAGGGGTTAAGAGATTCACCTGTCCCATAATAATAAGAATAATAATGAGAACTAGGGCAATAAATACAGAAATGTTTGGCTGCCAAAGTCTCATTTCTTTCTATATGCTATTTTCTCTTTACCATATTTATTTATTTTTATTTTATTTTTTTGGGGGGGACACAGCCTCAAGCTGTCGCCCTAGGTAGAGTGCTGTGGTGTCACAGTTCACACCAACCTCCAACTCCTGGGCTTAAGAGATTCTCTTGCCTCAGCCTCCCAAGTAGCTGGGACTACAGGTACCTGCCACAATGCCCGGCTATTTTTTGGTTGTAGTTGTCATTGTTGTTTGGCAGGCCAGGGCTGGATTCGAACCCACCAGCTGTGGTGTATATGACTGGTGTCTTAGCCACTTGAGCTATAGCACCCAGCCTCATTACTATATTTAAACTTTACTCTTCTTTTAAAAATTTTTACATTTATTTGTTTCATTTATTTATTTTTGAGACAGGATTTCACTGTCACCCAGGATGGAATGCATAGCCTTATCATAGCTTTTACAGCCTCAAACTCCTGGGCTCAAGTCATCCTTTGCTTTAAAAAGGATCCTGAGTAGCTGCAACCATAGGTGTATATCACTACACCTGGCTAATTTTTGAATTTTTTTGTTTTTTGTAGAGATGGGGGTCTTGTCCTTGCTCAGGCTGGTCTTGAACTCCTGGCCTCAGTGATCATCCTTGTCCTTGGGCTCCTAAAGTGCTAGAATTACAGGCATGAGCCACATGCCTGGCCTTAATCTTTATTCTTAAATTGACTGTCTTCTCTATAAATCTGGAATTTGCACCTATAAAAAGAGTGGTTAACAGAGTGGGTGTTTTAGAGGCACTCTCCGCCTTTAGGATACCAATAAAAGGCCAAAGAAGAGTTACCCTCTACAAGTTCCGACAATGACAACTGTATTGCTAGGGGCTTTGTATATGTAAGTGTTTGCTGTTTTGCTAGATGATCATTCAATAATTACACCTGCATAAACAGGAAGACTTTAAAAGTGGATTACTGATTATTTTTCTTCTCTAATAAGATAATTTTTTGAGAATATTCAAAATTATGACTGCATGTAAGAATAAGTAAAATCATTTGTTTTTAAAAAGCCATTTGTGCCAACTAATTCATGGTGAAATTATATCCCACTAAAATTAGTGCTCTTGTTTAATCATTACTGTTGCCAGCTGCTGTTCCTAAATGTACTCATTTTAATCACTGATTACTAGTCATACTAGTATGTAACTTTAAATTTTTTTTTTTTTTTGTGATGTCGCCCTCAGTAGAGTGCCATGGCACCACAACTCTCAGCAACCTTAAGTGATTCTCTTGCTTCATCCTCCCAAGTAGCTGGGACTACAGGCGCCTGTCACAACGCCCAGCTATTTTTTGTTGCAGTTATCATTGTTGTTTAGCTGGCCCAGGCTAGGTTCAAACCTGCCAGCCTCAGTGAATGTGACTGACACCATAACCACTGTGTTATTGTTGCCAAGCCATAACCTCAAATTTTTGATCTAAAAAGTATGTAATTTATGATTTTTGGAACACCTGCTATATACATGGCAGCAGTCAATGAAAATGGCAAAAAGAGGCTTGGCGACTGTTGCACAGTGGTTATGGTGCCAGCCACATACACCAAGGGTGATGGATTCAAATGCGGCCTGGGCCAACTAAACAACTGCAACCAAAAAATAGCCGGGTGTTGTGCAGGTGCCTGTAGTCCCAGCTACTTGGAAGTCTGAGGCAAGATAATCACTTAAGCCCAAGAGTTTGAGGTTGCTGTGAGCTGTGACGTTGCGGCACTCTATCCAGGGGGACACAGTGAGACTCTGTCTCAAAAAAAAAGAAGAAAAGAAAATGGCAAAAAGAACCGAAAGCAATAGTATGTATGTGGCTCGTGTGCACTAAATGTGAAGTGTGATGCACAACACGCCCTTTCTTGATAGACCTTTTCTATCAAGGAGCTGCCATGCTTCTTTCAATATCTATCTTTGTATACTTGCGGGGAGCTGGCACTGCAGAGACAAGACTCCAAAGGGAGAAGAGGCAGCATAGGCTGGTCAGTTCTTCACAAAAAGACATCTCTCAGCAATGTCTCCCACTAGTGGACACATTCAAATACAAAAGGTTAGGAGTTTAAGACCAGCCTGGGCAACATAGTGAGACCTGTCCCTACACAAAATTGTTTTTTTTAATTAGCTGGACAAGGTAGCCCATGCCTGTAGTCCTAGCTACTCAGTAGGCTGAAGCCAGAAGACAGCTTGAGCCCAGGAGTTCAAGGCTACGGTGATCTATGATCATTCAGCCTGTGCTACAGAGTGACACTGTCTCAAAAAAAAAGCACCAAAAACAAAGTTTGTCCAGTTTTAATATTATCTATGGCAGAGACTGGTAACTGAAAAACAAGCACTTTGGGTAGTGACATTTACTCTTTTGCTAGAATCATGCTGAGTATACTCTGTAGCAGTGTTGACTAGCCTATTATAGGAGAATAAAGTGTCTTTATTTTTAAAGGAGTCCAAAACAAAGAACTAGAAAGTGACTGCCTGGGACAATGCTTCCAAAGCCATAGACAATACCCGACAGCCACTGTACAGTCAAGAGCTATCTACCCCACCTCTCCTGTCATTCATTAAGTCACTGTTAGCAACTAGACCAGAGGTTAACACACTTCTTCTGGAAAGGGCTAACAGCAAATATGGTTGGGTTTTGCAGCCATGTGGTGTCCGTAGTGGCTAGTCAACTCTACTGCTACAGTGTGAAAGCAGACACTAGATAATGTAAATTGGCTGTGTTACAATAAAACTTTATTTGTGGACGCTGAAATTGTAATTTTATACAATTTTGTAAGTATCACAAAGTATTATTCACTTTCTAATTTTTTCCCAACTATTTACAAAACGCAAAATGTACTCTTAGCTCACATGCCACACTGAGCAGGTAGGGGGCCAGGTCTGGCATACAAACCATAGTTTGCTGACCCCTGATGTAGATAAGTCACAACTTTTGTGACAAATGCAGCACATTTGTTATGGAATCTGAGAAAATGAGCCACAGGCACTGAGTAAGAGAGAAGCAGACAGGTAGGGGAGGGTCACACAACGAGACAAAGCCTACTTTGCACTCCCTTGGCTTTAGAGCTCAGACATTCCGGGGCTGGTTCAAATTCATCATTATCTTCTGAGGTGACAGACTCCAAGGAAACAAATTCCTTAAAAAAAAAAAAAAAAGAAGAAAAAGAAGAAGTCTTTACTTTCTAGGTCAGGAAAAAGTACTTGGCAGTTTGGCCTCCTTTATCAAGTGTCATCAATCTTCAAAGGTCTTCAGACTAATGAAGACTGTGCTCTGCCTCCAGAGGTCTCACTAGGCCACAGTTATCTAGACTGTCTAGACCAGTGGTTCTTAACCTGTGAGTCTTGACCCCTTTGGACCGTATTAAGGGTTTGCAGCATTAGGAAGGTTGAGAACCACTGGTCTAGACATTCTCTAGGTATTAAAATCCAAACACATCTGTCTATATCCCTTAATTCTAATCATTCTAATCATCTTCAGTACTGAAAAACTGTTACCAAATTATGAATTTAGCTTCAACTATAAGTTGTACAAAGATAAAAATACCCATTGGCTAGTTTCTACTTCAAAAAAAGGTTAAAGAATTTGCTTGTCTTTACAAATCATAGACCATGCAATCACTAAATGGTAATGTTAACTTTAAAAGAGGGGTTATGTGCTTAGCAGAAAGCTTGGCACTCAACTAAGTGCTCAGAAAATGTCAATCATTACTATATTATTCAAGTTCTCAGTATCTGAATGGTCAACATTTATTGAGCACTTAGATGGGTGCCAAGCATTATGCTAAGCAAGTTTCTGATGTTTATCTCATTTAACCCTCATAACTCTGAAATACATGCCATTATTCTTTTATAGATAAACAAATATATTTATGGAGATGTCACTCAACTAATAAGCAGCAGAGCTAGAGGTTAAGTCCAGGTCTATGTGACCCCAGGGCCGAATCTCTTATGTTGAGGCAATACCTAATGTATTATTACTAAGCAGATGGCAAATATTTGTACAACATCTGGAGCAGAGTTTTTACTTTTCATCAACAAGCCCTATTATAAACTGCCATTACGTTTCCTTCTGTTTTTTTTCCAAGTTTCAGTTTCTTTCTGGTCTTCTCAGGTCAGAATGAAGTGTGCCCTCAGATGCTGCCATGTAAAATGCTGTATTGCTTTCTGATGATTCTTTCATAAAGTTGCATCTCTTCTCTTTGCTACAGCTAAACTACTGTTCCTTTCTTACTACACATCACTATTACCTCTTCAATGCATTAGTTTCTCCCACAAATTCTCAGAAATGAGACAGCGCTCAGTCTCACAACAGCACACAGTGAGATCACTACTAACATGCTCCTCGTGTATCTGAGCTGGAAACACGCCCAACTGCCACAGATGATGCTAAGTAAAATCTGGTCCTAGCACTTCAACAGTCCACCCATCCCAAAATAATAAAAGAAATTCTATGTACTAGTCACTAACACAAACAAGGATAAAGGGTAAGATAATAGCTCAGGTTTACTGAGGGGCCCCATCTGTTTTGTAGTTTTTACCATCTGTTTTCCACTGCGTTGAAAAGTTTCTGTCTTGGATTTAGGACTTGTAATAACTGAATGATACTGATTTCTTGAAATATTATTAAACTTCATTTCCCTGAAAAGGAAAAAAATGTTTGTATCACTAAAAATTAGCTTTACTGGACCTTGAAATACAGATAATAATGGTACTACATAAATACTATCATTAGAAATTCATGTAAGAACATCTGTACTTGTCCTTCACTAGAGAAAGGAAATACAATTGTGCTTAAATGTCAATAATCTTTGAAGTACGTTAAAAAAAAAAAAAAAAAAGAAACCCTATGGCAACTTTCAGATAGAATTCTGTGTTGAACTTACATCTGTGAAGCAAGACGATATACAGAGGTGGGGCGGGAACTAAGGAGAAAAACCACTCTTGATTAATAATACCTTAGATTAACTCCAGGTTCCTCAGCTCTTACTCACATAACAAGCTCTTTGGAACTGCTACTGAACTCTGGTGGACACTCCTCAGTTCTAGCATTTCTAGGATGTGTTTCCAGTTCTAATGGGATAATTTCAACCTCAGAATCTGAACATGCAACTTCTATTTTCCTCTTTTTTGAAAATGTATTTTTCATAGTATTCCTTTCTTTCCCATTTCCATCAATAACGCTAGATTTCTCAGTGTTAGCTCTGCTTAGTAATCTTCCTAAAAGACAAAAAATAAGAAAGTTTGCATTAGAAATATAATTGCTGACAACAAATAGACATTCCTAGTTCTGCTCCATGACTGAAGACCCTGTACTATGTACTTCTATTCTAGAATGAAGAAAAACACATCAACTCATCCCAGAAAATTTCTGCAAAACACTAATGAGGGATTTCTTATCTTCCAATACAAAAAAAAAAAAAAAATACAGGGTATCTAAAATGAATTATTTGTCTGTTTTCGTATAACACAAAAGAGATTTTGCTGCAATAACATAAAACAAAAATATGTATCAGTAAGTGTTCTAGAAAATTAGAGAGGTGACCTCTAGTCTTAAAATTGTAGCTAGTAAAATGGTATCCAGTAAAAAGGCTTTATCATTTGAAACCTACACTTTTTAAATAAAATAACCTATAGGAATTTGTCATGGTATGCACCTATAGTTCTTACATTTAAGTCTTTACCCAGCATAGATAGAGATGCTGCCTTTTCTAGCAATGCAGATAGAACCAGTGATGCTTCCTAGATACCATGTGGCACTCCGCAGGCAGCTTTCATCCCAGAGTTATCTTGAGAAATATGGGAGACCAATGTATAGGCAGGCTTTGGACTACGTCCATCTGTAATAAGGGTGTGGAAGGGATTCACGGTGTGGCTAATCTGAATTCAGATAACTGTGAGCTTCCGTTTGCCATCCCTGAAGTATACCTGAAATTTCAAATGAGAGGGACTGCTATGGTCCCTGCTACCTAGTTGCCAAAACTTGGTCCAGCATTGTTTCTTTCAGACTACCTCTAAAATCTTGTTTCCCAAACTTTCTCACATAATGGGGCACAGAGAAAATAAAGACTTGTACTTGACATGCTGGGGTGAATGGCCAAGACTACTGGGAACCAGTGTGTCTGCCCGGACCCTATGGCCTTACAGACCCAGTAACTGCACAACTGTAAAACACAGCTTGGAAAGTTTTGCTCTAAAGCACAAGCAACTCTCTAGAGTCCCTGAAATGGAGTGAGTTGCTAAAGTCACTGCCTGAATCATCCCATTCAGATATTACAAAATTAACTTGTTAAAATTTAATATTAGCTCAGAACGGCAAACAAAGATAGTTTACCTTATAGCAAGTCAGTCATTTAGTTTTTTTATTTAAAAATGTTTTCTTTGCTGACTTCAAAGCATCTGTAGCCATACAGATCAAATAAGTGTGCTTTGTATGTAATAGGCCCTTATGCAATAACCCAAGTTTTCCTTATTAGTTGTTAATTAATTAATTAAGAGACAAGGTCTCTTCCCTGTCACCCAGGCTGGTACAATCATAGCTTACAGCAACCTTCAACTCCTGGGATCAGTCAATCTCCCTGCGTTGGCCTCCCAAAGTGCTAGGATTACAGGGTGAGTGAGCGTTTTGTTTCTGAGCCTTTCTTTTCTAGAATGTGTGGTGCCCTTCCTTGCTTACTCCTCTTGGATACTGTTGCTCTTCACCTTGTTCTAAGATCTCAACAGCCATGACTAGGAAAATGGATATTCAGGAAAGTAGATCCTGCCACAGAATAATTTGAAAATAAACTTTTGCTTTACCTGAATAGATACAAACAAATGTTCCTCTGTCAATGTCATCCAGGCAGCGTACCCCCCAGCCCTTTTTCTCAGTTTTGAACACCTGTAGCCTCACTTGAGGACCATGTTGGACAACTCGGTTTTGACACAATTGTCGATTACATTTGCACAACATACTGCATTCATAAATACTGTCAATAAAACATGACAAAGAGAAAAATTAGATCTCCACAAGCAAATAAGCAGTTCATATTGCTAGTTCACTGGCAATGATAACTACTGAGGGAAGCAGACCTAATGTCTAATGTGAAAGTGCTGAGAGCCAGATGGACTCGCTTCCCGTCAGCTTTCATGTTTACCAGGGGTAATCTTGGATTAGTTATTTAACTTCTCTGAGCTTTAATTTCCATTTTAAAATGGGGATGACATGATAGTACCTATCTCGTAGAACTGTTTTGTTAAGATTACTTGGGCCAGTACTTACAAGGTACTTGAGACAATGTGTGGTATGTAGTGAATGTTACCTCTTCTCAAGTATCTAAGAAGGACGGACCTCGGAAGGAAATACATAGGAAAAAAAATTCTCTATTTCTGTTTCCAAAGTTGTTGTTATTTGTTAATTCCAACTTTGAAAGGCTGAAAACTCGTAATGTTTAGATGAGTTCTGCATGGTATTTCTTTTTTTTTTTAGACAGAGCCTCAAGCTGTCCCCCTGGGTAGAGCACTATGGCATCACAGCTCACAGCAACCTCCAACTCTTGGGCTCAAGCGAGTGTCCTGCCTCAGCCTCCCAAGTAGCTGGGACCACAGCACTATGGCATCACAGCTCACAGCAACCTCCAACTCTTGGGCTCAAGCGAGTGTCCTGCCTCAGCCCCCCAAGTAGGTGGGACCACAGGCGCCCACTACAACGCCTGGCTATTTTTTGGTTGCAGCCAGCATTGTTGTTTGGCGGGCCTGGGCTGGATTCAAACCCACCACCTTAGGTGTATGTGGCTGGCGCCTTAGCCACTTGAGGCACAGGTGCCGAGCCTGCATGGTATTTAATGAGGAAACTGCTATTCACAGTAGGCAGATTCTGAAGGGTCAGAGCCAGACTTGCTGCAGATAAGTGTTAAGAGTGCACTCTGCATGATGCTCTGGGTGGTCTCTAATTTCCATTTGCAAGAATATAGGGATTCCTCAGACCTTAATAATTTAGATTTTTGGTATTAGAAACTGACATTTAGCAACATCTATAACTGTGGACCATAATTAAAAAAGTACCTACCTTCAAGATACCAACACCCTGCAACATACACTCAAGGAATCTTACTCACCCTGCAACATACGCCCGAGGAATTTTACCCACCCTGTGACATACATATGAGGGATCTTACCCACCCTGCAACATATGCCCGATGAATCTTATCCACCCTGCGACATACATATGAGGGATCTTACTCACCCTGCGACATACATATGAGGGATCTTACTCACCCTGCGACATACATATGAGGAATCTTACCCACCCTGCGACATACATATGAGGGATCTTACTCACCCTGCGACATACATATGAGGGATCTTACCCACCCTGCAACATACATATGAGGGATCTTACCCACTCTGCAACATACACTGAAGGAATTTTTTTTTTTTTTTAGAGACACAGTCTCACTTTGTCACTCTCAGTGGAGTGCCATGGCATCACAGCTCACTGCAACCTCCAGCTCTTGGGCTTAGACCATTCTCTTGCCTCAGCCTCCCAAGTAGCTGGGACGATAGGTGCCCACCACGACACCTGGCTATTTTTTTTTGTTGCAGTTTTGGCCGGGGCCAGGTTTGAACCCGCCACCCTTGGTATATGGGGCCGGCGCCCTACTCACTGAGCCACAGGTGGCACCCTGCACTCAAGGACTGTTACCCACCCTGCAATATATGCTCAAGGAATCTTACCCAGTAGGTACTTGTCTCTGTAGTCTTTTGTATTTATATCCAGTGGGTACTTTATTACCTGACAAGGGAGAAGTTTTGGCATTCCTTGCTGTCAGTTGAAGACACGCACATTTTGCTCTAAAAGGAAGACAGGAGATGGAGAAGTTAGAAGGCAGGACAGACCAAGAGACTGTCTTGATGAAAGTATAAGTGATGCCATAAAGGGTGTAACAGCATTTAGAGCAGTTGCTTACGCTGTGGACAGTGCAGACTTCTTCCCTAAACAGAAACGAGCTCTTAGAAAGACAATACCTATCAGAAGTTTGTAAATAATTATAAACTACACTGCACCTCTAGCTGCTCATGAAGTAAACTTAACTCTATGAGTTTTCTTCTTTTCACTTTCTATTTGGCATTAGCTTGTTTGCACAAATTCTGCTAGTTCTATTCTCCTACAGTGGATAACAGACTGGAATGTGTCACACCTGAAAGGGTATAGTTCTACAGATGTCTTAAGTTCTTTCTCCCACCAGCAAAACAAAAGACTGGGGAGACTGAGGCTGGGTACCTCACTACTACCATACTTTTTTCGTATTGTTACCAGGCTGGAAACTTGCAACCGTGAAATTTAATCTATGTATTTTTTAGTCTAACTACTTATTATCCCACTAGACAGGGACTCATAATTTGATAGAGGAATGAATTGGAAATCCCAGCTATCAAGCAGGTTAGGTGACTGCTGCTAAGCTGGTTAAAACCTCTGGGTGTCGGTCTCCTTGTTGAACATGGGACTTTAAGGTCTTTTCCTCTAGGATTCTCCTCTGTATTTTCTGTTTATACATAATGCAAATCAGATTGGTGGCTGCTGCTTGCAGGAGGAAAAAAAAATCAATATTTGGATTCTGTTTACAGATATAAAAATCTATAGTTACTTTTTTCCATATGATTTAGTTTATAAAGTTTGAAAAGTACAGAAAAATACAAATAATAATATAGTGAACACCCTGGATATACTTGAACTTACTGTTGCTGGGAAAAGTAGGTCTACATGTCATTGTGGCCTTAAACATCTCTGTGTGCTTTAAATGTGTGGGATTATACTTCCTGTGGGGCTTACTCCTACGTGCTCCTTTATCGTGAGTATTCTCTCCATTCCTTTGACTCTGACCATACTGGCTTCACAGTTACAGACCAGGTTTCCATTAATACAATGCGAGGCCCTGGGAGATATCAGCCTAGTCTCTGTGGTATGACTGCTGCTATTCCCATGGAGAGCACAGATGAAGCATTGGGTTATATCCAGAGGCAATGTTTATAAAACAAAGGTTATTTTAAAATATTTTAAAATGGCCAGGCATTGTGGTGGGTGCCTGTGGTCCCAGCTACTTGGGAGGCTTCTGTGAGCTGTGATGCCACAGCACTCTACCCAGGGCCACAGCTTAAAGCTCTGTCTCAAAAAAAAAGACAACTTAGCACAGTGAGAAGTTTTCTCTGTGAGAGGCCTAAATGAACTGAGCCACGCTTAGGTGACATTAGATTTACATCTCTCACTTCACACTCCTGACTGAGAGGATAGTGCAAACTATTATCTACACTATTTGAATTATTTTTTGTTCTCTTACTCTTCTTTTGCCTAGTAAGGGTTGGTACATTAGCATTAAATTAAATGGACATATAATGCAACTCCACACTACAACCATATGCCTATGAACGTATATTACAAACCCTTAAAATGTTGTTCAAAGTCTTCATATAATTGAATACATTTTTTTTTATGGAATGTCACTACTGTGTTACAATCAAGAAAAGAGTAGTTATAAGGACCATTACCTTTCTACAAAATTACTGAGGAAATGATTTTTAGAAGTAAAATACAACATATCATGGTTAAGAATATGAGTTCAAATCTTGGCTTTACAATTTGTCCTATGACCACTAGAACTGACTTCCTCAACCTCCTCATTTGCTTTTTTGAGACAGAGTCTTGCTTTGTCACCTCAGGTAGAATGCTGTAGTGTCATAGCTCACAGCAACCTCAAACTCTTGGGCTTAAGTGGTTTTCTTGCCTCAGCCTCCCAAGTAGCTGGGACTAAGATGCCTGATACAACACCCGGCTAATTTTAGAGATGAGGTCTCACTCTGGCTCAGGTTGGTCTTGAAATCGTGTGGTCAAGTGCTCCACCTGCCTTGATGTCCCAGAGTGCTGGGATGACAGGCGTGAGCCACCGCACCCAGCCCTGGTCTCTTCATTTGTTGACACGGAGATTGTATCACTTACCTCAGAGGGTCTGTGAGCACTAAAGGCTTGTATGTAATGTGCCTGACCCTGCAGCTGGCACTGTTAAGTGGCATTTGTTGTAACTGCTATGATTATGGCACCAGATTAAAGGAAATACTTTGAAGAAATAATTTTCCAATTGCTGTATTTGGCAAACAGTTTTCTTTCCTATTGCTACCGAGAGCATTCTTTCCATTTTAGACTCTTGGTGAACAGGTTTTACACAGACAGACAAAATGATACATAGTAGGACTTTACAAAGAGTGTTCCTACATTCACAAGATTTTTTGAATGCCATGTTTTTCTACTCACACGTCTATGCAGCCCTCAGAACAGTCACATGAATCAGTAAACATGTTGGAGAAGCCATTTAGATGGTATGCGCGTGGCCACATGGTCTTTCTGTACTTAAACTGTGGAAGCTTTCTACTATCAATTTCATTAGAGAAAGGAATGGGCACAGATTCCACTCCATTGCTAATGTCCACATCAGAAACAATTTCTTCTTGCTTTGCGTAGTTCCGAGTCAACTGAACATAGGTATTGAAAGAAAAGTTATCTGTAAATAGAAAGTTACACTCTGTCTCAAGGAGGTAACGAAAAACTTCCTCCACGTTTCGCAGACTCCTTCCACAAGGGGCTTTGTAACTCACGTGGAGTGCTGAAGAGTGAGAGTTCGTCTTTGCATGTCGTCTCTGGAAGTGGCATTTCATCGGCAGCTGCAGAGGGTTTTCTCCCTTGGAGGTTGGTGGCATTTTTATGAGACAGGCACCAGAGCAAGCATGACTTTGGTAAGATAAGTTCAAAGATGATTCTTTTCCTCTAAACTCTACAACTTCATTTTTCAGAGAAAGAATTTCCTCATTTTCTGTAGATCTATTAAAATAGATTATATATTAGTCTCACAATTTATGCATGTTGATACTGTACTATGATCAAGAAAATACTAGTTATAAGCACAGTATCTTTCAAAAAAATATTTATTAGTTTCATAAGTTTATAGTTTAATTCTCCACTTGAAAAAAATACTGCATGCTAGGTACTTTACAGCACGTATTAAATTTAGAGTTCATTTAGAATATGTACTCAATAAAGAGCTGAGGAAGGGGCCAGGTGCAGTGGCTCACACCTGTAATCCTAGCACTCTGGGAGGCCCAGGCAGGTGGACTGCTTGAGTTCAAGACTAGATGGAGGAAGAGCAAGACCCCATCTCTAAAAAACAGCCGGGCATCATAGTGGGCACCTACGGTCCCGGATACTTGGGAGGCTGAGGCAAGAGGATCTCTTCAGCCCAAGAGTTTGAGGTTCCTGTGATCTCTGATGCCAAGGCACTCTACCAAGAGTGACAAAGTGAGACCCTGTCTCAAAAAAAAGGAGCCCATGAAGGTTAATTCTTTAGGTATGCTTGGTTCAAGTTTTTGCCTGCAGAAAACAGTAAAGACTAGCTGAAAATTAATTTGTTAAGAATCCTTTATATGAAAACCAAAACAAAAAACCCCCAAAAGAATCTTTATATTATTTGACTAACACAATTACAACTGAATTTTTTCCATAATGTATGATCCACCTGGCAATTACACTGACACATCTAAAAATAATCGTAAACTGACAAGAGAAAAATGGGGTGATAATTGCTTTTAGGAAAAAAAAGTCTGTGAAAAAATTCCATGTATTTGGAAATCAGGTTTTAAACTTTCACAAAGAACCTGGGTTTTGTTTAATACATGTATAACATTTTCCACCTATCTTCAAGTCACTATTGTACATTATAATACTGGTATTTTAGTACTTACATTTAAATATATGCTTACACTTAAATTTTTTTTTAAGATGTGAAGCAGAGCTGTTCAATGTAACTCCCTCCATGGATAGAAATGGTCTGCCCTATCTGAGCATGGCAGCACCAGGCACGTTCAAATGTGGCCAGAATAACCAGAGAGCTGAAATTAAGTTTTATCTTATTTCAATTAATGCAAATTTAAATAGCCACATGCAGCTAATGGCTACCATATTAGATGTGCAGATATGGAACCTTCCCATTCTTTCTATAGCTGTATAGTCATCCTCTAGATAATATACAGCATATACTAGATCAAAATATTAGACTAGTTACATCAATTATAAAACTTATGCAGTTACCTTTTAACAAGGAATTGTATTGTAATAATCTTTGCTATCACAAATCATGATACAATGATGATGTATCTAACACTTTCATACACATAAAGAATACACCCCCAGAAAGTTACAGGGTAAATGGATTAGTCATTTCACTGATATTGCCAAGTTGCCCTCCATGGGGTCAGTGCCTTCAGCAGTATGTGAGCGCTGCTTTCACAGGGCTTTATCCATCAAGTGAGCAAGTGAGTCTCGATGCTTTTGGATTTCAAAGAATCTAACAGGTAAAAGGATGTACTACAATTTATTTATAAATGTTTTAATTTAGGAAATTTTCATTTGTTTTTAAGACAGGGTCTTGCTCTTTTGCTGGGCTTAGAGTACTGTGGTATCATCATAGCACACAGCAGCCTCAAACTCCTGGGCTCAAATCATCCTCCTGCTCAGCCTCCTGAGTAGCTGGGACTACAGGTATGTATAACTAGGCATGGCTAATTTTTCTGTTTTTTTGTCTCCCAACATTGCTCAAGTTGGTCTTGAACTCTTGCCCCAAAGGACCCTTGCACTTTGGCCTCCTGGAGTACTGGGGCTATAGATGTGAAGTGCTGCACCCGGCCAGGTTGTTTCGAATTTGTCTCTATGTTACTACTTTGAGGAACATCCTCACATATCAATCCTTGACCAGATTCCTGATTACCACCTTAGGATACACTCCTTTGTGAGGAATTATCAGGTCAACAGGAATACACATTAAAAAGACTTTATATTTTCTCATAAAAAGAGACTACAGTGTACCCCCATGAAGCTGTGAGAACGGCAGAACTCTCCACACGTAACAACTCTGTCCAAACCTCTGCACTACAAGATGATCAAACTTTCCTGGCATGGTCAGACCAGCATGACGGGCATGTCCCTCGGAGAACCCCAGCCTCCTCTTAAGATGCCTGCCTGAGCAAATCTAGCACTGCCGAGGGAACTGGCTGGCTGCTGTAGCCAACACTTGATGATAGCACAGGCCAACAGACACTGGCCTCCTTTTCTTAGAGCATTTACTACAAAGCACTAACATTTGTGAATCTTTCCTCTGTCCCACTGAGATTTGTAATTGTGTATCTCCTGCAACTTAGAAGGGTCTTTCTCAAAGAGCAGAAACCCGTTCCTTTGAAATGGAATTATCAGAAAGGATATGGCCTTGGTCTCCCAGTCTCTGGAACCCTAACTTTGATAAGTGCCGGCTAGCAGACATAGCTGGCCTAGTCGCATTTGCACCCACTGACTCTTTATAATTTTTCACTTGAGTCCTAAATATTCTCTTTCCTACTCCCTCAATGTTCTTTATGAACTGTCATCTCTTTTCACTGGATTTTTATCACAGTTCAATTCACAATCACCAAAATGTGGAAGCAACCTAAATGCCCACCAACCTAGGAATGGATTAACAAGCTATGGTATATGTATACCATGAAATATTATTCAGCCATAAAAAGATGGAGACTTTACATCTTTTATATTAACCTGGATGGAATTTAAACACATTCTTCTCAGTAAAGTTTCACAAGAATGGAATATCCAATGTACTCAATACTAATATGAAGCCAGTAGACAATCTAAAACACCCACACAAGAGAAAAACTCAAATCAATTCAAAGTCAGGGGCAGTGGAATGAGGGAGTAGGGAAAGGGAGACGGAGGAGATTGGGTGTACTCCCACTTAATGGGCACAGTGTTAGGGTATATGGCTTGCCTCTTGGGCACAATTATAAGAGGAACTTTACCTAAGAAATACAAACATTGTAACCTAATTCTCTGTACCCTCAATTAACCTGAAACAATACAAAAAAAAAAAAAATACTGTTATCTCTGCACAAATGAGCCTGGAGCTACCAGGTTCCTTCTCCTACTGCCAGTATTACTGAATAAAATATTTTTACCACTTTAACCAATGTCCAACTTTGTTTATCTTTGACATTTGTTACCAAGTTTCAATAATTATCAACATTTTTGCTTATTTCATCTACTTTCTCTCCCTCTTGCCCTGCCCTGAACACATACCCACTCTTTTTTCTGCAATATTTTAAAACACATCCAGATGACATGTTTTTACCTGAAATAATTCAGTATCTCTAACAGACAAAGCTTAACACACACACATGTATATAATTTCAGGGGTCCATTTTCACACACCCCGAGTCCAAACAGATCCTATCACTTGTATCTGATTCAGATGTCTTTTATATCCCTTTACACTGCAGCAAGGAGCTCCCTGCTTTCGTTCCATAACATTTGTTAAAGTTTTTTGTTTGTTTGTTTTGTTTTTGTAGGTTTTTTTTTCGCTGGGGCTGGGTTTGAACCCACCACCTCCAGCATATGGGGTCAGCGCCCTACTCCTTTGAGCCACAGGTGCCGCCTAAGTTTTATAAACTCTATCATTTACCCTGGAGCATTTCCCACATCCTGGAATTTGGCTGAAGCCCTGTTTGTCATTAACACATTCCTTTTGTGTCTTGTAGTCCTGGTAAACTGGTCAATTCTAGAAGCTTGATTAGATTAGATTCAGTTTCAAATTGTGGGGGGAAGAAGGCAAGAATAATTCATAGGTGGTGCTATGAATTTCCTACGGTATCCTAACAGGAAGCACACAGTGTCTGGTGATGTCTCACTTTTAGTGATGCCGACATTGAGAAAGGGTTTGGGTGATTACAGCCAAATTCATTTTACAGTTCCTTATGATTTTTTACTTACTGGTTTTAATATTCACTTAAGACCACTGTTTAGGCCAACACTTACCCAAGGTGTGATGGAGCCTGATCCCAAGGATTTGCTATCAATTCATGATAATTGAAAAATTCAAAGTGTTTAGAAACTTTACAGCAATTTAACATTATAGCAACATTGTACTGCATTTTACAAGAATATCATTCCTCAATAAACAAGTTTAAACCAAAGTTCTCACCAGGGTTACTTTGGGAGCATCGGCCTAAAGTCACTGTTTTCGAGAGAGAGGTGGAAGTGGAGGGGATTGGGAATGGAGGGGATTAAGGAGACAGGCTGCAAAAATAATAATCTAATTCTACCATTCCTATTAAATTTTCTGACTGGGATAGTTTTACAAAGGAGAAATTTTCCTTGCCAACTCTTGGGTTATTCTGCTATACAATTAGCATAGGAAAAGCAGGATAAATGCTTGATTCTATTCACTGGTATTTAGAATAACATGCATATTAGCAACTACCAAAGTGATTATTTTAAAAATGTTAAGGTTAATATGAACCCATGGTTTTTTTGTATACATGTATTTAATGTGATACATTAATATAAGATAATCACAGTGATTTTTTTTTTCTATGTTCAAATTGTGCCATTTTTTGGCCAGTGAGAGTTTCTGCAAGTTTGCTCCTGTATCTTTCTTACCTAACACTTTTTTGGTTTTCTGTTACAAGATTTTCCAGGTCTGGAATCAGACATCACTCCAAGGAACCCTGGTTCCATTTAATGAGAAATGACATGCAGAGGTCACAATCCTGGTGCTAATCAACACTCTCATGAGCATGTATATTTTTCTTTTTATTTTACTTTATTTTTTGAGACAGAGTCTCACTTTGTCGCTCTCGGTACAGTGCTTGGGATCACAGCTCAAAACCACCTCCAAATCTTGGGCTCAAGCAATTCTCTTGTCTGAGCCTCCCAAGTAGCTGGGACCACAAGCACCCACCACAACGCCTGGCTATTTTACAGGCGCAAACCACAGCGCCTGGCCT